GGCTTAGATCTTCAATCCGATTGATTAGTGAATTATTTAAACTGTTTATAACATTTGGACTAATCATTTATAATTAGAGGAAAAGATTATTCAATAATGAGTCAATATTGAATAGATCAAAGATGAACGAAGTATGTGGAATGATTTTCAAATGACGAATCATTACAGTAGAATTGAAACATCGTTTTTATTTACTTTTATAATAAAAACTGACCGTTCAATGTAATAACACAAACTACATTGCTATTAAATTACTCTATGTCATCAAAGGGCGGTTAATTAACAATTTTCCAACAAACTTCAACAGTAACTATTATTATATAAAGATAAATATTTTTTTTCTTTTATTTAGATGATTTGAGTATTTCCATGAACAGTAACTATTATTTTATTAAAAAAACTTGCTTTTTGTTATTTACTACGGCTGGGCAGAAAGAAATAATCTTTCTCCTCATTCCCGAGAAACATCTATGAACACGATGGTATACTCGTCGAGACATAGTCACAGATCCAAACACTACGACCAGCATCGGAAATATCATTAGAATAATCGCGATTTTCTCTAAAAATCGGCAAAAAAAAAAGAAAAACATCGACAGTTTAGGCGATTAATCGAGAGATATTCTCACGATTAGTCGACCTAATAAATTGCTATAAAAATCGTCGATTCTAGCGCATTTTGATGACAAGGGATTACAAATTAAAATAACATAAAACGGTCATTTAAATAAATAAGAAGAAAAACACAATGAACAATTTTTTTCTTCTCTTTAAATGAATTTTTATGATATTAACTTGTATCATTATCTTATTTTACAATATAGAATAAAACTGAATATAGTAAAATAATGGAAAAAATATATAGTTCCTATGAATCATTAGATATGTTAATGTCCATTCAACGAATGTTCCACTTGAATCCTGATGGTTTTGTGCAGTTTAACTGTTATTCTAGAGAGCATCCTTAGGTTGCAATAGCATATGAAACTCAACGGCTTTGATTAGAAGATCGCCAGCACTTTAAATGTGTTTTGCTCTTTCGATTTGGCGTTTCTTGAGTTTGTTTACGCTGAGCTCTGTGTTTTCGCTTTCCGAAGATATTATCTCGTATTTTATTAACTGAAGAACGTAATTTTATTTACATGAATTCATTTCGTTTTATTTTACTCAATAAACGGACAGGTTTTTTATCTTTTGAGTAAATGGCTAACTCTAAAAGCATGCCTTTATAGCGACTTGTAGCGCAAGAATGCGACTCATTTCTCCAATACAGTTACAGAGCCTTAGAAATCTTTAACACATCTACAATAAGTGGGTCACACTTGAGAAGAGGACGACCTTTTTTTTATCCTGCATCCTCTCTTGTTCTGACCTACCTTATGCGACAGAACAAGGAAAATTTACATGTAGTCTTATCCTGTCATATAACGCATGATCAAATAGCATAAATAACGTTCTTATTTTGATTTTCGATCGTACAAAATACATATAAAATTGTTATTGATATTCCAGCTATTTATTTCCCTTGATTTTCAAATAAAATAAATATATTCTTAAATAATAATTTGTCTCAAAAAACAATACAAAGAAAATTCGATTTAACTGTTTTTGTATCGAGATGAATTCATTTTTCTTGTCTAACAAGTTTCATCTTCAAATAATTGTGTTATGTTACTTGTGAGAGTAGCTCATACCAAATGAATAGATTTAGCTATGTCAGATGAAAACAGACATTTTTCTTGTTGACTTAATTAAAAATTGTGAATGAATTAATTATTGATTTACATCTATTTATTGCGAAATTGAAATATTAGTGTAGTTAGCATACTATTTTACATTAACCTTGTAATTATTACTGTTACTCTTCGATTCTCGTCAACTTTTGTTTGAATGTCGAAAATGTCTTATGTGATTTCATTGGAATAGATCAAACTTATAATTTTAATCAGAAATTTATTTATAGGCCGTAGTATCGCTTTATTTGGCTCACTTTTAAGTAGATAAGATCCAAGGACGAATCAATATCTCCTCTTTCTGTTTGTCATGTTGAGCGATAGAATAATGACGAAAATTTCAGTTTTATCCTGCTCTGTATGATAGAACACCAGGACAATCCTGCTCTTTACTCAGTTTTGGCAGAATAATTGGATTGACTTCCATATTTTAAAGTATGTACTATTTAAATTCGATGATTTTTTTTCGATTAAATCGATAAACAAATTAAATTAAACAAATAAATGAAATAAAAAGTTAAACAAAATATGGTATATGAAATAGTTAAATAACATATTTTATTTGTTCAATAAATGATCGATTAAAATAAATTTTAATAAGTAGTACTAAAACTAAATAACAGTAGAATATCGAATAAACTATTGAAAAAAATAATAATTCTATATTAATTTTCTTGGTCATTTGCATTTGTATGTTCGTTTCATTTATTTTTGATTGAATTGAAAAATGAATTAAAAAGTTTGAAACACTACTAGTGATGATACAAACATATTTGTTATCCAAACAAATTTTGACAATTAAGATATATATGTATTAAGTCGAAAAATTAGTAAAATAGTCTAAATCGTAACTCTTAACTTTGTCAGTCGAAATACTCAAAAGGTTTTTCTAAAATAATATCAACAACATGGGGACAAAACATTGTAGATAATGACATAAATCACTTGAATATTTTGTATTGTGATTGAAAATAGGTTTTTTTTAAGCCATCAATCGCTTATTTTGCAGCAATGTAATAGGCAATTAACTTTCGTTGTAAATATAACGTGTTTGTTAATAAAAGCAAAACAGCGGACGTGTATGATAAAAATGTGCGTTGATGTGATGAAGAATGATAAAAGTGTAAGCTGAAATACTATCTCTTTTGTAAAATAGAAGATAAAATAAAAATGTATTCAACGACAACGAACAATGATGCTTTTAAAAACGCTATTGAAGAAAATGAAGAAAAAGGAGAAATTTACCAAAATCCAATCGGTTATAATCGTTCATCATTTGTTCCACGTCAAATATCATTTTCTCAACGACAAGCAACACTTGGTGAAATAATTCTTGTTCTTTTACCTTATTTTATATTGCTTGTCGACATATTTATTTTTTTTCTTTTACGTGGTTTTAAATTAACTTGATTTGATTATTCGATACATACGTATTCAAAATAAAAAGAAAACTAAATGAAAAATTGTATTGTCATGTTTTTTTTTATTGTTTCTTATAAATGTTTGATTACAATCATCCATTCTATAAATAAATGATCGTATCCAATAACGTTATTAAGTGATGATAAATGATATAGTTGAAAAATGAAAATGTCTATGACCACTGTCTGATTGCATTCTCTTGTTTTAAGTTGGGCTCGGTGAAAGTGCATATGAATGATTCACTTATATGTGCGCGTGTATATGTATATCACAAAAAAAACGGATAAACATTTCTTTTTTTCTTTGACGTGTTGCTTTTTGATAGGAGAAAAAAAATGCTTTCGACATTTAAAAAGAAAACAAAACAAATGAATAATATCGTCAGTTGAAGATTAGAGTACTCTTATTTTTGTCACATCCAACCAAATGACAACAGATTTAATTAGTTATTCTTTTCAAACATGGTTCAGTGCATTGCTTGGAGCGGCTGTTGTTGGCTGTATTGGTCTTTTACCTATTTTTATTGTTCCTAATGAACAAACTAAAAGTAACTATGATTGACCCAATTTTTATTTCTAATTGATTTGTTTCTGTTAAATAGAAGATAAACCTTATTTGGAATTATTATTAAGTGTAGCCGTAGGTAGTCAATTAGCTGATGTATTTCTTCATCTATTACCTGAAGCATTTGCTCATCCACATGCTTCTTCAGTGAATATTGGTCTTTGGACTTTAATTGGTTTATTTGTTTTTTTTCTTATTGAACAAATCTTTCCAGAAGATGAAGAGGATTCGTCTCATGAAAAATTAACACAAAATCAATCATCAATGGTATTAAATAAAAGATGTAAAGATGAATAGAAGTTTATTGATATTAATATTTTTAGAATGAAAACAAAATTGTAATATCAACAGAGCGAAAAATCAAAGTATATATTTTTTTAAAAACTATGTAAAATAGCAAAAATTAATTTATTGTATATAGACTACGGGTTATTTAAATTTATTAGCTAATTTTATAGACAATTTAACACACGGTGCAGCCATAGGTGGAGGTTTTGCTATAAGTCCATTGGTAGGAATGACAACACTTGCAGGAATTGTCATTCATGAAATTCCTCATGAAATGGGAGATTTTGCTATACTTTTACGATCAGGTTTCAATCGTTGGGAAGCTACAAAAGCTCAACTTGTTACTGGTTTAGGAGGAGTTTTAGGTGCTTCAATTGCACTTTATTATTCTAGTTCAGTTCACAGTAGGTTTACTTCCTTTTCATGTTTTCTTTTTTTTTTGATAACTTTCTCTTTATTTAGGTACTTTATGGGTATTACCCTTTACTAGTGGTGGTTTTCTTTATGTAGCTCTTGTTAAAACAGTACCTGATTTGTTAAAAGAAACCGATTTAATGTAACATGATACTTTTTAAAATGCGATAAATTTATTTTTTTTATTTTCTTAGACATTCATTTCGACAATTCATCGGCGTTCTTGGAGGACTTTGTATTATATACTTTGCTGTTCTCTATATAGGCTAACATTAATTGATTACTTTCTTTTTGCATTTTGTATTATCAGCTTTTAATGCAATAAAGTTGTTTTTATTTGTAAAATGATATTTTTATGCTATTAAATATAAGTCAAATTTCGATCCTAATTAGTAAAAATACAAAGTATTAAAGAACAACGAGAGTACATTTTGTTCTCTTATCTCTTTTTATTAAAGATAAATGTCAACATCGATAAAAATTGTTTCTATCTGTTGATGATAAGAACGTACTGTGTGAATTATTTGGAACACGTTTGTTTTTTTTTTCAATCTAAGTGTCTTTGATTTCTTCTTGTATTACCAATGAAAACTGTATCTATATAGAGCAATATAAGTGCCTCAGAAACACACATAAATGCCATCTATCTCAATGAGAATATCGCAAAAAGCCATCCGCGGATTTCAAGTTGAGGTTGCGATCGAAATAATGTTAGTCAAGTTCAAGTGAGACTAGAACGTGATTTAAATATTTGTAATGTTTTTATAATTGTTAATGATATGAAAAAGCTGTTGAGATAATACATATGGACGACTGAGACTTGAAACTTGAGGAATACTTATTCAATTAAATTCAACTTTCAAGTTTGATACTATTGCAAAGCTTCAGCCCAATAGCATGTCGTAGTATGAAGATTGTGTTTTGAAGAAGAAGGCACCTCTAAGGGAGATAAACAAATTCAAGACCTCATTCAATATTATCTATTTGATTGTTCGAATTTTACGACGAATCAACATTCAATCAAAAAGATTCATCCGATGATCGCTCAGAAGATGCATCTGAAAAATGTGAAGATAATGAATAGATCAAATCTGAAGAAAAAATTGGCAACAATGATAAGCATAAATCCTCCTAGTCAAAATAAAGAGCACACCTATTTTTGTTTTGATGATTTTCCCACAGTAAAGTAGTTTGATCTCATATTTGTATCACAGATAAATCTAGTTTTACTTTACCTACTCTGAGAGTTTCAACCCTAAATAATGGGAATTAGTTGATAAAACTACAAATATGTCTTATGTACCCTTGTATGAGTGAAATGAAAATTTATTATGATGTTCATTTCTATAATATTTTATATTTCATTTGGAATCTTATATAGTAAATAGTTGCCTACGCCCAGTAAACAGCTATTTACCATACAAGATTCCAAGT